TGCATAGCCACTTAATGTTGAAGATTGCATTGCAAATCTTGGTACGCCCATTGTTTTGGTAGTAAAGATTTATCTTGGTTTAGGCCACAGAGGAATTGGATCTATTGTAGCAAGCGAAGGTTGATTAGCTATTATAATATAATAGCAATGGGCTAGGAGTTTGGTTTTATAATACCAATGTGACACTTCTATATGAGCAGTCTTCCCAAAAACATACCAGCAAGCTATAGAATTTGAAATCCTTAAGCCTATACTTTTATCACTTGGGCACACCACTCAAGGAACTTCATGCCTAGTGTTTGATTACTCAGAAGGTCAGCTGTGCATATGCTTTAAGGGCCGTGGTCGGCAAACTTTGGCTTACGAGCCACATGTGGCTCTTTGGCCCCTTGAGTGTGGCTCTTCCACAAAATACCACGGCCTGGGTGAGTCTGTTTTGAAGAAGTGATGGTAGAAGTTGTTTAAGTTTAAAAAAAAAATTGGCTCTCAGAAGAAATTTCAATCATTGTACTATTGATATTTGGCTCTGTTGACTAATGAATTTGCCAACCACTGCTTTAGAGCATCAGCAAGAAGACACAAAACATTTTTTTTTTAGTGGGACAATTTTGATATTCCAAAAGCATGTATCAAATTAGGGGGAAAATCAGAACCTCGTTGAAATTCCCCACACTTCGGTTTTGGCACATACCTTCATAGGGCAGTGGTCTGCAAACACATTAATCAACAGAGCCAAAAATCAACAGTACAACGATTGAAATTTCTTTTGAGAGCCAAGATTTTTAAACTTCTTCTAACACTACTTCTCCAAAATAGACTTGCCCAGTCTGTGGTATTTTGTGGAAGAGCCACACTCAAGGGGTCAAAAAGCCACATGTGGCTCGCGTGCTGCAGTTTGCAGACCACGGACATAGGGAAAAGCAGGTATCATCATCTTTTCAATATAGAAGATCTTAATCTACTAGCCCTGTTTGTGTGAATACTAGAGGCTCTGTGTATGAAATTTTGCACAGGTGCGGTCCTAGGCCTGGCCAGCGATCATCTGGTATAAAAGGGCAGGTCCCAGTTGACCTCTGGGCCCTGGGCAGCACCTGGGTCCCTGGGCCCTCATGTGCTCCTGTCCATCTGAGTCATTGGGGCCCCCAACTGATTCCCTCAGCATCTGGGAGCCGGGCAGTGGCCCCACCCCTGATGCCACTGCTGGTCACAATCTGCAGGGTGATCAGTGGGGCAATTGGGCTTTGCTGGCACCTGCCTTGGCCTGGCACCACCAATTACCAGCTCCACCATCCCACCATGGTTCAGCTCTTGTTGGGGCCCACTGGGGCCAGCAGCACCTCCACTGCTGCCTGCTGCCAGCACAGTGTCACTGACGCTCAATATGTTCTGCACTGCCCCCTGGTGGTCAGTGCACATCATAGCGAATGATTGAACTCTAGGTAAAAAATCTCAGTTTAGGGGACAATTTGCATATTAGGCTTTTATTAAAAAGGATTTTGTAAAGCCAATAATCTTTCCTACTTTATATAATCATCCTGAATTTGTGTTTTTGGAGGGTAAATCTGATTTTTACAAAATAAAATACAGATGTAAGTGAGCTACAGCTCTGTTTTGTTGGACTGATCAAATGTAAGACTGTCAGCTTCATCTAGTAGCAGAATGGCTTTTTTGAGCAGTTAACATCTTGTTGAATTCTCTCCTGGTCTCTTAGGCTAGTTTGAAGTCTATCCACCAGGACATGCTTGTACATGCTTTATAAACGTTTTGTTGAGTGTTAGCTATATTCTGTCAAGGTGCTTTTTTTGTAAAAACGCTTTGAAGAGTATGCAGGGATGCTATCTCTGGATAAATCAATGTTTCCAATTTTTCTCAGGTGCTTTTTTCTTTTATGCCATGTTAAATTGAAGATATATTCAGAAACATTTTGTTTTGCCTTTAGAAAAAAAATGTGTGATTAATCTAGTATGAATGGTGTTCAATGTGGATTTTTCATATTATTTTTAAGCTTTTAAAATATAAACATGCCTGGACCCCCACACCAAACCTATTGAATCAGACTCTCTTGATGTACAGAATCCCTCCATCTGATTCATATTCACGGCTATGAATCTCTACGTCCATGGTCGGCAAACTGCGGCTCCCAAGCCACATGCGGCTCTTTGGCCCCTTGAGTGTGGCTCTTCCACAAAATACCAGGGCCTGGGCGAGTAAATTTTGAAGTGGTGGCGTTAGGAGAAGTTTAAGTTTTAAAAAATTGTCTCTCAAAAGAAATTTCCATCATTGCACTGTTGATATTTGGCTCTGTTGACTAATGAGTTTGCCGACCACCGCCCTAGGTCCTTGGTCAGTAGTCTCTCAAGTATGGTTGGTCCATAAAACAGCAGCAGCAGCGTCACCTGGGAATTTGTAAGAACTCTGGGTTCTCACCCCCATCTCAGACTTCTAAATGAAGCTCTGGGGTGGGGTTTGGCGGGCTAACGGGTCTGGCAGACGATTCAGTGCCCATGGAAGAGAATCCCTCCTTCCATCAAAGGGCTCCTCAGCTCCAACATTTCACGAGTCCTTATCCTGGCTGCAGAAAGCTTCCAGGACGTTTGCTGTTTACCAGTCAACAGTTTATCCTTCTCTACCCACTTCTGTGGTATTAAGCTTTCTACTTTGATAGTCTCATTGTTTAGCATGCGTCTTCTGCTATAAACCTCCTCCAATGCTTTGTGGATGAGGCAGAGTGTTAATGGAAAAGGTTGAATTTAAAAAGCCTTCCTCCCTACCCCACCCGCCCCCGTCGTATTATGTTTTTTACTCTTTGTCAGTTTTCTAATGGTTAGCAACTGTGTTATGATTAACCTTGTGGATGGTTAAGAAGCTAAAGAAGGCTGCCTGCCGGTTTGGTTCTGCCATGGCCACGATGCTGGAGACAGATGGTTCAGGTTTAGCGTGGGGCGGTTGCAGAGATGGCCACCACCCTCCCTTGCTATGCTCATTAGTGTCACTCCTAGCACACAGCTCTGGTAGAACGGCTCCTTTAAAGTCCAGCGCCAACGTGTGCTGTTCAGACAGGATGG